AAAATAAAAAATATACTTGATTAAATGCATGCACTGCACCTACCACTCTTTCCATAGCATTCCTCCATTACAGCCCTCTGCGCTGGACTAGCTCTCTCCATGCACATTACCGCCAACCAAGTACACTTGTGTTCCTGTATATCTGAGCCAATTTTGCCAGTGATGTTAGTATTCGAAAAGCAATCGGTAAAATCATTTTGTATTTGACAGTAAGTACCCATGTCAAATGTTATGGCTTCACACTCATCTAAAACCTGCTGATCCTTAATGCTGAAAGAGTACATTAATTCAAAGTTTAATTTCATCCGTGATTGTAATTTATACCCACCCAGCTAAGTGCAAACCCAGCGCAACGGGTAAAAAGAAGAAATGTTTGCAAGTCTTATGCAAGGCAATCGAATTGAATATATCCATATTGAATTCGGCCACATTCTTTTTAGAAGCTAGCAAATCTAATGACTGCCCAGTTATACATACGAAGGTGCTCCAGCGAAACAATTCGATTAGATCTAAATAGCAATTCAAATGACGAAAATGTTTCTTGAGTAGTTCATATAGACCATTTTCAATCATCAGCATGTCGTTGATGGCATTAAGCCCGACTTCCTTCAACTTATGCCAACATGGTTGACCACGACGTGCGAGGCCGCCGTCCACCAAATCGTCGCTCATGAGAATTATACAATGGTGCTGGAAAACAACGAAACAAAAAAAAAATGGAGAACGTTTAGTTGGTGAAAATCAAATAGAATGGGGATATGAAAGTTACTTGGTCTAGGCTAATAAATACTACGTATACTGGGGTAGAAAGCACGAGGTTAACATAATACTACTATGGACAAGTATTTACATACCAATTCAATGCACCAGCCAAGCAAATGAGCGAGCTTTAGTTTTTCCGCGGTGAGCTGATCGCTATTGACTACACTTTTGTAAGTCAAAACGGAGACTAGACTATTTTTCGTACTCGTCACCGATATATTGTACTGTAGAGCCTGCGGCGAGCACGTAACAAAGATTTAATAGAGATTTGAGCTCAGAAAAATTTATATTCTCTACCTTTCTGAACCATTCTGCAGCCTCTTTACTTTTGTACCTTTCAGCTATCAATGTCAGGTCTCGCACGACTTCTGTAAAAATGAATAATTATAAATTTAATTTGCTCCCGAAATAATTATTATAAATAACATAAATTATCATTATACATACATATGTATGTAGATCTACATATAGTCTGGGGATTGCATAGCAGGGCCGACGTATCCCTGTTTATGCTATAAAGATAGATGCAATACTTTGCGCGGGATTACGTCAGTTTTTACTATGAGGGTAAAATGTTAAGCCAGTGACTTCTTGAATTTTCCGTGTAGCAATTTAAAGTGCAACACAGCTTCTACCAACAATCATCCGTTAATATGCTGCTGTCAAATTTTGAGCTAGCTGCCTCATTTAGTTTGTGTTTGACAGTCATTAAAAGCAGACAACCTCGTGAATTTCAAGTTTTTTACTGCGAATTTCTATTTCAGATTGGGTATGCGGTGTTATAGCCCATTCAATTCTAGTAACCACAAAGTACAAGTTTCAAATAGCAACAAACAGCCATTGATTTTTTTTTTACTTTTATTTTCTGGCGATGTTATGCTATTTCTGGTCTGTGCGATGTTTTATTATTTGGAAGAAAATGAGAAGCGCTTTCAACCAAAAAAATTGCCAAAAATCAATTTTATTATACTAAGATCATATGGGCTATAAAACTACATACCCAAACACCTTTTAAAAAGTCTAATTAAAAAGCTCGAAATTTGTATGAAAGTTTGTTGAGTTTGCACAAAGTTTGAAACTTGGATTAATACGGGTTTTGCTAAATAATAACCTATATTTTTTTTTTAACAAATAGCTAACATTAAAAAAAAAGTAATAATAATCTTAAAATTTGCCAATATGCGGTGCGCTTATAATTATGACATGGGGTGTCTACTTTAACAGATTTTGCTTCTGTACCTGGAAAAACAGCCATATATTCAGTGATCTCTTTTTTGGACATCATCGGGCGTGTATTTCTTTTCCCACGGGGACTTTCCACAGTTGATAGGGGGCTAGAAAAAAAACGAAGAGTGAAATATTTACAGCCGGTTGTTTAATGTCTGATTAACACAAATCGGCGGTAGAAGCTCCGGTTAAAAAGAACAACTGCTTTATCGATCACATGTTATGTATATGCATGACGTCCAAATCGCCGATAATGATATACTGGTGATAACCAGACATTGATGAACAACCGGCCCTTAATCTAGGTTTTCTTTTAAACTGGAAAAAGCGTTGAAATCTTCAAAAATTTGTATGAAGGTCAACTTTTCTCACCTTTTAACCGACTTCAAAAAAATGAGGAGGTTATCAATTCGTCGGAATATTTTTTTTCACATTACAAGATATCCCCTAACTTTTAATTAATTTTTTAATCGCAGTTATAAAGAACCAAACTTTTAGTAATTAAGGGAATATTCATACATACTCCCATATTTCTTTACACTAGGAGTGCCACACAGATTTCCGAAACGGTAATCTTGAGGGACATTTGTGATTTTGGTGAAGTGTCAAATTTAAAATTTTGTTCTTTCGATTCTGTAACAGCTTAGTTGATACCAAGGTGTATTGCCAACTCAGTGCAGCTTTCTTCTAAGGTACATAATATCAAAAAATATAAACAAACGATTCAAAATTCATATAAATTTTTTTCAATTTGACATTATAAGATGGTTTTTATGAGAGCAATGCCAATGTCCCAGGTTGAAGATTACAAATATCGATTTCATTCAACTTTCTCGTAAACGTTAAGTATTATAATGAAAATAGATAAATGAGAGATGTAGATCATAAATTTTTCGGCAATAATTTTTAAATTACAGTATTGCTGAGTTATCGCGATTTCTAAGTTTGAATAACTCATATTCCACATAGACTATTCGAGTGGAATAGGTGCTTTACCTGAAATTTGAATTTCATCAAGTCTTTTTTCACAAACCATTACACACTTACCGGATTGATCTGCCCAGAGTTTTTTGGTGCATCTCTCGAGTAGTGTCTATCCCATCGCCAAATGACCGCTGAGAATGCGTTTTGCAGTTGATGTTATCGCCGCATGCGATAATTGTTGCGGCCACAGTTGAATTCTTTCGCGAAAATTTACGCAATACTGAAAGCATTTTCTATTCTGATCCTTTAAAATATCTGCCAAAAAGTATTTTCACAGAATCTTGTAACTTTTTCTAATTATGATGACCACTAAATTTAATTCACAAAAATTATGTTGAAAATTGCATTATATAAATGGTAACATGTACATACACTTGTGGTCAGCTGGTTAGGTTAAGTGAAATTTTTACCAGTTTTGGCTATTTATTTTTTTTATAAAAGTCTAGCACATTTCTAACTTTGTACAAACATTATAAAAATTCAAGAAACTTTACCAATTTTCCCCAAAAACTTCAAACTTTTTATTCAGAATTTTTAGATGTATGCTCAAAAATTTCACCGTTAGCTAAAAAAAAAATATTAAAAACAAAGCGATTTTCTGTCGTCTTGAAATTTGCACTTAAGTTTAATTGGCTATAAAAACTATAAATTTGTTGGAGAAATTGGTAACGTTTGTTGAGTTTTTATAATTTTTGTACATGGTTTGAAATGCATATCTACATAGTGTTTGTTATATAATGTGCTAGACTTTAATAAAAAAATACTAAACATTAAATAAGCAAAAGAAAAATATCCAAAACTGGGCAAAAAGTCAGCTGACCACAATGGTTTGTACATATAGGGTGGAGCGGAAACAAAAAAATTTGCGTTTCGAAATTTTAATAGCTGAATCGTTATCTTTGGGTGTCAATAGAATATCCCTAAATGAATTCGGTTAATACTTTCTGCATCCCCTTTTTGATTCAAAATTTGAATTTTTTGTGAATTCTAAACAAGTGACATATGTATTTTATTAAATTCCTCTTTAGATAAATTTAAGGTATGACATTTCGTACGCCACAAAATTTTAGAATAATAAAATGCAAGTTTGAAGCAGCTGGAAATTGTTTGAAATATTTTTTTTATGAAGGTGTTCCTCATATTCTTCATATAAAAACATTTTCGAAAATACGGGTACTTTGCTCCATACAAAAATACCATAAAGAAAAAATAAAATAAAAAATTGTCAAAAATCAGTGGTATTTTTAACCACTTTGAACTTGCTCTTTATTATACTAAATTCAATGGCCTACAAAACTGCATAGCTAGGACTTTTTCTAAAAATTATTTTAATAAATTACGTTACTTGTTTAGAATTTACAAAAATTTCAAAATTTCAATCAAAAAGAGGAGAAGAAAGTATTACTTGATTAAAAAATGAGAGTTACTCTATTGATTGCAACGATCCCTGCTAATGGAATTTCGAAAAGCAAATCTTTTTTTCGCGCCACCCTAATGCATATTATTGCGATTATTTAAATAAAATGTGCCCTCACTTTATTGCTATGAAAAAACTGCTATATTTTCTTTTTCATCTGTATTTATTCAGGTTTATTCCTGGCCAATATATATAAGGTGGTGTTGTTTCATCAGCTGTGAGTAGCGTTTGATTGTCAAGATTTCTTATTTCGCCAATGAGTGAGTGAAAACGTGAGAGTGTTTGTATTTTCTGTCGCCCTTTTTCATTTGGTAAAGAATAGCTAACATTTGACAATGGCCCGTTAAAGCTTAAACAGGCGGCAGCGTTGATCCGGATTAACTTGGACTTAATCCGGATCAACCGCAGTTAATTCCCGAGTTGATCCGGATCAACGCTGCCGTCTGTTTATGCTTTTAAAAGCAAAAACAAAATACAAGTAATTGTTGTATTTGTTGAACCGATAGCACCTTATGTAAATTCGCCTTGGGTTTACTTATTCATAATTTTTGTTTTTTGTTTTGCCTACCTGCTTTAAATTAATTTGTGTTTTCAGTTGTCACTCCACGTTCGACGTCCGGCGAAGACAAAATATAACTGCGTGGTGTACTCAAAATATAAACCCTTTAAATTAAAACATTTATTAGTTCACTCCACACTCGCATCGGGGTGGCAGATAACTGAATTTGCTTTTGTAAATATTTAATAAAAAAAAAATATAGCAATAACATTTTTGCCACACTTTCCTTGCAATTAGATGATCCCAGATAATTTCATGGCCCATATTTAATAAAAATGCGAAGGCTAATGCCACATTTGCTACGCATCAATCAGTTGTCAATTTTAATGATTGATGTTGAAACCGTTTCAGTTATTAAAAGAACATTATATAAGCGGTGTTATTGGTGACTGCGGAAAATAGCAAAAACGAAACGAGATGCCAAAGCTTTATTCACTTTGAGCGGAGACCCAGACATTGACATAGAAAATAATTAATTGAGTTTTCTTCTTCTCATTCCGACAATTTCCGTAGAGGGGAAGGTGTTCTTTCTTTCTATTAAAACTGGACTGTAAAAATCTTAGGAACACAAATTTAAATGGCTATGTATCATTTGTTATAGGCTAAGTTTATATTGGTACATTATCTTCTATAGATTTAAAAATTGGTTACTCTAGAGAGGTTTTCATTTATAAGCACTGTTTGGCCTTAGGATACTTCATTCCGTACAATATTGTTATAACACTCTCTATATAGTAGCCAGATAACAGTAAGAAGTTCACGGAAATCGCTGGTGTAATTTATCACGTTTAGAATACCTTTTACCTTTTATGAATTTATGTGTCGGGTATAAAATGTTCGGTTCAGCCCGAACTTAGGTTTATGGTTCGATTATATAAAACAAATGCTAATAGACGATGACTACACATTTAGAAAACTAAAATACCGCATTAACAAAAAAGAAAGAGGACCTAGATCTACGTGAGAACCTTCTAATCGAACTACAGAAAAATTCAACTATGGGAAGCTATTTTCTTAATAGCGGGTAATAATTTTCCAAGTTGACCGCACTAGAATCCGGCCCCACACAAAGCTCAATAAGCACGCAAGTGAAATAATATTAAATTTTTACCAGATTATTTCCTTTTTATTTGATATTTCTTTCAGAAATTGTATTCAATATTTCTAATAAAGCTTCACGCGGTAAAGCGTCCGATTCTTGGTGAATAAGTGTATTAATCCTATTATATGTTTCTTCCTCGTATTTGGCATAGATGTTTGGTAGGTTTAATTCCGCATAGACTTCCTTAACACTCGCAATTTTCTGGGGATCTGAAATTAGAAAAACTTTATTATGTACATATCGCACACCGTATTCAAAAGAGTTTTTGAGGTTATGCGCTAAAAATTACACCGAGCTTTTATTTACCTTTGGGCAAAAGCCGGAGCAAATTTTTGTTATGATTTAATAAAAAAACCTAAGGTAAAGTCGCCTTTGCCTATATGATTATCATGTACTAATAAATAGTTTTTCGCATTTTCTGACAAACGTATTATTTTGAGTTGTGACTCTTTTGAAGACAGTGTGCGATATGTACATTAGTATATGCATATGTACTACATACCTATGTACGAATATTGGACTGTACCCGAAAAAAAATTCGCCGTTACCCCCGAGCATAAAGTATTTTTTGAACACAATTTCGAAAATAAATTTTTTGCTTTTTTTCCGAATGTAGGGGTGGCCTTATTACATTTTTCCTCATATCTTTGGCATTGCAGTCGGATTTTTAAGTACGATATATTAATGTTCTTGTCTCAAGACGCATTTGTTTTTATTTTAAAGTTTATTGACCTCAAATACTAGATCTTAGTTCCTCCCACCCTAAAGTGTTACCCTAATATCAGTAAATTAAAGCTCGTCAAAAAATTATTAAACTTTTGCTAAGAAAGTATTTTGAATATATTAGCAGCAAAAACAAATTGCCAAATTTAGATACATAGATCAGCGTGTCCAGATTGTTTAAAAATAAAGCGCAATTTCTGAAAAAAAATCCGCAAAAATCGCCCATCCTTTTTTTTTAATAAAATTCATGAAATCGACTTAACAAATCTTTTATTTCAAAAATGAGATCTTGTTATAATATAGTTTTTAAAATCAAAAACGAATGTAATAACTTCAATAACAATTTTCTTTTTGAAAATACGCATACTTTTTAAAAATATTTGTATCAACACATTTTGCAATAGGACTGCGCAATTCTTAAATTTATTATAACTCATATGAATTGATTAATCGCACAATCCACTTTTAAGCGATCGGCGCTAAAAATAAAACAAATATAATAAGGCGAGATCATCTGTTTCCACAATTTCTTCAAAATCACCTATAGTGTCTGAATCATTTACATTTATGTTGTTGTTATATATTGAGCTATTCAACCTGCATAACATACTGTTTGATATTGGAAACGTTTTGCAGCAGAAACTATTGAATTAAGGCTTTCTAGCCTCATCCTATTTCGAATTGAATTTTGTATAATTCATTACGGAAAAAACGCGCTCAACAAAAGTATGTGAGTGCAGCAAGGATAATAATATGAAAGCTACTTAACTAATGTTTTGTATATTTTTATAATTGGAAAAAATTTATTTGAAGGGAAAAATCGCCAAAAATCGCCAATAGCGATTAGCTAAATTTTTACGCGCAAATATCAAAAAAAAAATCGCCCAATTGGCGCTAAATCGACAAATCTGGACACTCTATTAGACATAGATGTCACCGAAAAATCAAAAAGGCGACACCTAATAATAATAATAGATTGGCACGATATATTAGTGTACATTAGACTTGGAGTGTATGATCAACTTTTTTCGTTTGCTTGGAAGGTGTTACGGTACATAGGTATCTGCGGACGTTTGACAAAACAACTTCTCTCGCGTGTCTTCATTTTCTCTTCAAATCAGTAATTCATTGAGTTCTCGAATGATATTTTAATGTTTAGCCATTAATAAAAGTAGCTCAAGGTGCTTTTTTAATGAAAGTTAAATAAAAATTTAAAATTTTTAAATGTAAGTTCCCTACAATTTACTCTAAATTCCAACCTGCAGAAAGCAGAGAGGTAGTGTCTAAATTCCATAGATAGGAAAAGCGAAAAAAATCAATTAAATAGTTTTCCAAAACACTTATTGAATGTCTATACTTAAATATGCTTACCATATTGACCGTAGCACTGTTCCATGATAGCTCTCTGTTTAGGACTTGCTCGCTCCATACACCGCACCGCCAACCAGGAACACTTATTCGCTTGTATATCTGTGCCAATT